GGATCTCTCTGTTGACAAACTCGCAGCTGCTGTTGCCCGCACTGAGAGTCTGTCTGCTCAGCAGGTTACTACTAATGCAAATGGGGAGGAGGTATGTACTCTCATGTTTAAACAAGCATTCTAGTTAGCACTGTATGCTATCTATTTGCATTTTCATCTCTGCTGTTTAGGGATTATATCAGCCTCTTCCAACATCTTTCAGTCTGATTATATTACTTTTTCAAATATTATTTTGATAATATTGTTCATTTATGTTGTGTAAACAGTTTTCCTAATAAAAAGGTATATTTATAACATACATTATGTATTTTGAGTACACGAGACAGGCAAAGAATTAATCTTTTTCATGAAGTATATGATAATGAATGGTATGTATGTCTCTTTTTGTGATGTAAACCTTTTTTTTTCCGTGATTTCATGTATAAAAGTGATTACATAATGGTAAAAGCTATATACATAGAATGTGAAATGTAACTATATTAGATGTTTATGATTGAGAGTAAATGATGATAGACCTGGAGAAAAAAATGGGAGAGAAATTTTCTTGTATTTACTCTGACCTATTTCTTGCAGGAAATACTCCCTCTTGGCGGTGGATCCACAGACACGACATCTCCAGTTGATGATCTCCCAGATTACTTACCCGAGGATGACATAGTGGTCAAAGATTCCAAGTCGGCCATGGCTCCAACAGGCTCCTTCAAAGAAACTGCTTCCTCTTGGTTTGCCACAGCCTCCAACCTCCTCCAGAAGTCCTTCTACTGGTGACTGTGTGTCGTCCTCACTTAGTCCAATATTTATTTGAATGTGCTGGAGATATAGCTGGAGTTTGTCAAGTTTGTTGCTATTTGGAAAGAGAATGATTTGATTGTTAAGGAAAATTGTTTTGAAGCTGATCATGCAAATGTACTACACGTTGGTCTTCTGGTGTGCTGGAGTATAGAATTTTATGAAATTTTTAATACTGAAGTTGCTATGCTATATGGAGGGTGCTAAGGAATTGTATTTCATGGTGCACAAGACTATTGTTGGGCTAGAATGAGATGATGTATCTGCTCTGATATTTAAACAGGATATATAATCACACAACATATCAGTGTTTCTTTGTTATTCCTATTTTATTCAAGGGGAAATTTCATTGTATTTATTATCAAGAGTCCATTGTTTCTTTGTCATTCACATTTTATTCAAAGGGAGACTTCACTGTATTATCAAAGTCAAGGTAGTGTGTCAGCTAAACAACTGCTTTCCTCATGTTTTGATGTGATATTTTCCTGAATTGAAAGGAGTTGGTGAATGTGTGATGTCAGTTATACAGCGATATTTATTTCCTACGGAGAGACAAATGCATATTTATAGAATGTGGTTTAACCATAACGCTTTGCATTTTAAGTGAGGCAGTTAAATACCCTCAAGAGTGTAACTTCTGCAGCATAACCAGTACTCTGTGCTGTTTTACTTGACATTCATTTCCCTTTTAGCATGTACACAAATTGTCACTGCATTTACAGATTATTATCCTAAATAGCAGCCCAGTATTAGCCACCAATGCTTTCAGTATTGTTAGACATGTATAGCAAACTGTTATGACACTGAGTGCTTGTTATTATTGATAAAGCTTTGATAGACAAAAAAAAAAAGCTTTATGTTTTTGTAAATATGATTAGAACATTATGATAAGCTTTAAGCTTTTATTACCTTGTACTAAATGTAATCATTCCTTAGGTAGCCAAACATAAGCAAAGATATAGTATGTAGTAGCCAGAGTTACTGATTGTTGGTTTGGTAACATTTTCCACAGCCAATATTTAGTTGTTTATTGATTTATGGTCTGCAGTGTTTCCGTTTATGAAAGATTATCAAAAGTTTTTTTTTGTATAAATAAGCCAAACTTTGTGTTTTTCATGTGCCTAAATATGTGGTAAGTCGTGATTGATAATGTTGCCCGTCCTTCTTCAAACTGTGTGTAGCTGTCAAATAATCTTAATGTCATTTGTATCTATATTAGTGGTTTTCCTTGAATTGTTATGTAATTGCTGTTTCAAGTAACTTTTATTTGACAAATGACTTAAAAATTTTAAAAGATTTTTTTTTTTCTTTTGCTGTGGAGTTATGTCTTGTGTCTGCCAAATGTTGAAGTGGATTTAGATGATAATGAATGTATATTTTTGTAACTAGGATGTATGGCTACAGTTGATAGTTTATTTCCATAGTTTGCTGGAGAAATTTGTCTTGTTGTCCTCCATATATTTTGCAAAGGTAGTACCCAAATGGCTCTTTGCAATATAATCTTTAATAGTTTTTCTTTGAAACATTTATTAAGGGTGTTCTATATTACATGTAACCTCTGAGTTGACAGTTTATATTGTAATAGTTCCAAGTCAGAGCTCATCCTTTACCAAAGGTAGAGACAATGTTAATTCCATACTAGATAATACAGTGTTTGCACATTCCATGTCGTGGCTTCAGAAAAATATAGATGTAAATAGTCTCACTCTCATTACACTTCAGCTTGTCATTCATTGTTACCTTGTCCATCCATGTGATAAAATACAGTAGCATGTTAACAGTGTTATCAAGGTCTGTTAATTGCAGTAGTTCGCACATTCAGGTATTACATTATCAACTGCAATGCCATAGATTGGCCTTATGAACTGCAATGCAGTAAAATATGACAGAGAGGCAAGCTCAAATAGTTCTGATGAAATGAAAAGGCAATAAAAACAAGAGAATAATGTGGTACTCCTCATGACAGACATGGACAAGAATTATTTTTGTTATTAATTATTATTATTATTAATTATTATTTTTGAGAAAATCTTGACTATTCACTGTTGCATCACCTCTGTTTTAGGATGATATGCGCATCACACACCTATATATCTTATAATCGTTCTTATTCTTATTCTTGATTAATCTTATTATTATCATCAACATTGTTGTTATTATTATGATGATGATGATTGTGATAATGATATTATTATTTTGTTAATGGTTTTTATTATTATTATATGGATAAGGATTTTCATTGTTATGGCTATTATTTTAATGATGATGATGATGATTATTGCTCAAAACATTACAGTCTGGCATTTGACATGGTGTTTTTTTTTAACAGGTAGCTAATTTAGAAAATAAATTTTAAAGGATGCGATTGTATTATGTATTAATAGGTAATCACCTATAATGTCACATCTTACTTGAGGGATTTGAGTAATTGAGGAATTTACTTCGCAAATATGAGCATAAATAAACTAAGACTAAGAGTTCATAGCAAACTTATGACACACAGCGGAAATGTTTGTCTGCTCTTGCCTGTTTTTTGTATGCGTGGAAAAGTTGGTAGTGATATTGTCATTACTGGTGAATGATAATTTTTCCATAAAAAACTCCCTTGCCCTTATTGGATAAGGTGGTAGTGTCTTTCTAAAGACTGTTAATCTCGAGAGGTGGGAGGGCGGGCAGGCAGGCAGGCAGGCAGGCAGGCAGGCAGGCAGGCAGGCAGGCAGGCAGGGAGGCAGGCAGGCAGGCAGGCAGGCAGGCAGGCAGGCAGGCAGGCAGGCAGGCAGGCAGGCAGGCAGGCAGGCAGGCAGGCAGGCAGGCAGGCAGGCAGGCAGGCAGGCAGGCAGGCAGGCAAGCAAGCCTGACTGACTGACTGACTGACTAGGGGGGTGCTGAGTATAAGTGATCATGAATATATGTATTTGTGGATGTGTATGCATGCATACATATGTTACTGAATCTGGCTGTATACTAGTAAGCAGTGAGAATGTCATACACTCTAGCTCAGTCTAAACTTCCATGTATTGGTAGGTCATCCATTATAATAATAAACAGTAACATAATAAGATTCTGGTTGATAAAAAAATTCAGTAGAAGCTTTGGGATACTATAGATGGAGATAGAACTTAATTACATTCAATGTTATTTTTTCTGATTTGCATTATCGTATCCTTTTATAAGGTGGAATATCTATTTTTTTTTTTTTTTATCTTTTGGTTTGTAGAAAGTTTACATAGATATTTTAATAGCATTAAGGATTAAGAATACAAAGAAGAACTAAATAAATCTGTTCAGAAACAGTAATGTATTTTAACATAGTTTAATACATAGCTCTGTTAAATCCAAGCATAAAAGCTGAAAACTTTTAAAGTGATGCATATATTAACCCATATACGTACATGCCATGCCCACTGTGAGGCCCGGGTGACTGCTCGTGATTTCCCCGTTCCTTGAAATTGCAGGAAAATGTGTTTTTCTTTCCAAAACTATTGATGTGTGTGTGTGTGTGTGTGTGTGTGTGTGTGTGTGTGTGTGTGTGTGTGTGTGTGTGTGTGTGTGTGTGTGTGTGTGTGTGTGTGTGTGTGTGTGTGTGTGTGTGTGTGTGTGTGTGTGTGTGTGTGTGTGTGTGTGTGTGTGTGTGTGTGTGTGTGTGTGTGTGTGTGTGTGTGTGTGTGTGTGTGTGTGTGTGTGTGTGTGTGTGTGTGTGTGTGTGTGTGTGTGTGTGTGTGTGTGTGTGTGTGTGTGTGTGTGTGTGTGTGTGTGTGTGTGTGTGTGTGTGTGTGTGTGTGTGTGTGTGTGTGTGTGTGTGTGTGTGTGTGTGTGTGTGTGTGTGTGTGTGTGTGTGTGTGTGTGTGTGTGTGTGTGTGTGTGTGTGTGTGTGTGTGTGTGTGTGTGTGTGTGTGTGTGTGTGTGTGTGTGTGTGTGTGTGTGTGTGTGTGTGTGTGTGTGTGTGTGTGTGTGTGTGTGTGTGTGTGTGTGTGTGTGTGTGTGTGTGTGTGTGTGTGTGTGTGTGTGTGTGTGTGTGTGTGTGTGTGTGTGTGTGTGTGTGTGTGTGTGTGTGTGTGTGTGTGTGTGTGTGTGTGTGTGTGTGTGTGTGTGTGTGTGTGTGTGTGTGTGTGTGTGTGTGTGTGTGTGTGTGTGTGTGTGTGTGTGTGTGTGTGTGTGTGTGTGTGTGTGTGTGTGTGTGTGTGTGTGTGTGTGTGTGTGTGTGTGTGTGT